GATGGGCACTCTTATCCTAGTAGTGAGCGCGCAGGTGCGAAACACCGCTACGGTGTTAAAAAGCAGTATATGCGACTTCGACCGGGACATTCTCTTTGCTTTTATTATGCGTTTCTGCATGCTCATACAAATGCAAATATTCACATTGCCAAGAGTGAGTGGACTTTGTCACGCACCTTCAACTTGATAACCACAGAAGCGAGGAAGCTGGAACTTCTGCAGCATATTCCCGTATTCTCGTTCCCCTCTGTAACCCTCCCGTTTCAAAATATCGCACATGTACTCTTTCATATTGCGTACGAACACCAAGAAGAAAAGATGTAAATTTTCTGACGAGAAGCGATTTCGAAAACCAGTCACTGTAGAGAGCTGGAACTCTTAAATAATGCTCCTGTTCGTTTCAGCTAAAGGTTTTCAAATTCACCTGGTAGCGCATGGCTACGACTCGCGCAGGAACACGTCAAACTTCGTTGTTGGTACCGCGTCTAACTTGAGAATTAATCGGAAAAAAGTAGCTGTAGTTTTACAAGAATATTTGCCCTCCATATGCGGATTCGCACACCTAAATGCGTTTAGGATTGCGCATGCGTCACGCATATGGGCACGTCAAAATATTTGTTGCAAAATGACGATTTGGGGAACCGAACAAGGCAGGAAGTTGAAATTTTACAAGGATATTCTAGGCCTGTGTTTGGTTTTAAATTTAGTCTCGAGGCACACTGAGGTCTCGCGTGACGCGCAAGTAAAGTTTTAGTTTCGGACAATTTGGGCATCCATTTACTTCGCAACCAGTCTCCGCAGGGAACCGAAATCTTGCAAGGATGTTTACTGTCCACGCGGAAATTTATTGAAAATTTATTAGCAGAAATTCTCAAATGGAAGATTATAGCTAATCTTTTGTGAAAATCTAGTCAGCAATTCTACTGCGCGTTACTAACTGAATTTTCACTCGAGATTAACACCCTCATTTTTTAATAAAATTGTGAATTGTATTTCCGCAATTGCACTTGAACCCTTTCGCCACTCGTCCTTTTTACCAAAACCTTCGTAGTGCTGTATCATCTTTCCAAATAATATATCTTTTTCTCATCACCAAACATGATATGGCAGGTGACTGCAATAGAAATTTATGTCCTTTTAAAACCAAGAAAAAAAAAAAATGCTGCAACTTGCTTTCCTGAATGTTCGGAGGCAACAGTGCGCTCTCAGCAAATGGACTACGCACTTGTTTTTTTAAAGTATCGTGACTGACTGCACAGGAATTTAGTGGCACGATATTGCACTAAGCTACTAGCAATCTGCAGTTTATTTATTTAATTTTATTGTTAGGCCACTTTAGTTAAGATCGATGGCTAATTCGGGGAACTTGCATATTCCAATACTTATTTTAAAGACATCCATGTACTGGGTATCTCGCCACACTAACTGCTCCG